TGTCAGATTTTTAATTGAAGATGATCCATTTATGCAAATTAATTACATGTCATTTATTTGGTAGGATCTTGAACTTTTAATGTAACAAAGTATATTTGGACCCAGCAACAGATCCTTTTTAAGTTCTTTCTTCATTCAACATGACTTGAGGATGGCATAGATTAAATAGTCTTGTATGATTGCATCTCTATGAAATTATCTTCCACATCTGGAATTGATTGAAGGATCTAATACATTGCTTGTTTACATATCTACTTCTCAATTGGCTCTTGAATCCATATTATCATTTACATTATTATAATAAGAAATTCTATGTGATTGATGTCCATCCTTTGATCGAAATTATCAATATCATTTCGGTATATACTTCTTATGGATATGTTGACAACAATTATATTAACACGTTATTGATAATCCGTTATTAATTAAGAATTAATGTAGGTGTACAGAAGAATTGAACATTCAATTGTTTGTTTAATAAAGAAAAAGACAACATGAGTCTCTTTAACAATCATGTTATTGGATTGGAGCAGCCAAATTCACCAATGTTAAATGCAAAACTACTTGAGACTTGGCATGTTATGAACAACGTGGGCACTTGCGTCACTAGCCCCCTCTTTTTCCTTAATACTCCAAAACAAAAATCCAAGCAAATGTTGTTCCATCTTTCCCATTCAATGACTTCTAGAAAACATTATAATACCCAAAATACAAAAGCTTTCCAAGTACTTCACGTTATAAAAGAAAATAAGGCTCCTTATGTTTAGTCTCATTTCCTACCCTTGCTTTTTTCCTAGAAAGATACATTTAGGCTTTTACCATCTTCTTATTCATTCATGTTGTGTATGCAATGATGTCATATCTCAAAAATAAAAATGTTGTGCATGCAATGATGTCATATCTCACTATATCTCACCGAACCCAGTTATTAACTTATTATTACTTTCATGACCAAAAAAAAAAAGATACTTTTACGTTTTTCTTTTTTTGCTATACCACTTTTTTGTCAATAAGGGCAAAATTGTACTTTCCTAAATCCAATCTAACAAAGGCCATAAGGGGCTTACTCATTGACTAAAAGCTAACAAAAATATAAAATCACTTGAGGAAGACCCAAAAGTTTATAGGCTCTTTAGAAGATCTTAATTAGTGCACTTTTCACGTATAAGTCCATAAATAGGGCCCGAAATATAGAAGAATTCTACAATACATCTTAGGAAAAACTCCATTTGCCTTTTGGAATCAAAATAAGGAGTTAAATTCCTATTATAGATACTCCTATGTTTACTTCACATGGAGGAATGAAAATGCGAGTGGCACCCACAAAAAAGCAGGAATTTGGAATCTTAACTTCTCTCAATCCATATGATTTAATAAACAACTTCAATAGGAATCTAGAATCTAATTCTCCTCAATCTAACTCCTCATCAATTCAATTCATCCTCAATTCTATTCCTCCTAATCTTATTACGGATTAGTAAACATGTCATACAATTAGTTGATGGTTGAGTTGAGTTAAGCACTTGCGTCACCACCCCTGTTCTTTTCCTTCTAGAAAACATCCAGTATTTATATGGGAACAAACGAATCAAAAAATTTCTTCTTCTCATTATTATTTATTTGAATATAGACCTCAAAAAATTCAAAGGCTTTCCAAGAACATTACACTATAAAAGAAAAGAAGGCTCCTTCCTTCTTTTAATTAATCTCAATTCTCACAAACCGTCCCGTTTCGAATATATCAATGGCAGAAGAAAAAAAGAGGTAGCACTTTAAAGTCCTTTATGCTTTGAAGTACTGCTTCCATAACAATTTCTCACTATTTTTGGTGTTATGAATTTGGTGTTTGTGTTTTCTCAGGTATGCAGTTGTTACTGGAGCAAACAAAGGCATAGGATTGGAAACTGTGAGGCAATTGGCCTCAAATGGATTCACTGTAGTCTTAACTGCCAGAGATGAGAAAAGGGGTCTTGAAGCTGCAGAGAAACTCAAGGAGTCTGGCCTCTCAGGTCAAGTGGTTTTTCATCAACTTGATGTGGCTAACCCTGCTACTGTTGCTTCCTTGGCAGAGTTCATCAAAACCCAGTTTGGGAAACTCGATATCTTGGTATGTGTATGATCATAGCTGCAGGTTTCTTGAAAAGTTTTGGTCTTTTGAAATAATTCAAAGTCTCAGGCTTACACAATATCCACACAGGTGAAGGTTACATTAGAGACTGTAAATTTATCATATCATGCTTGCTTATTGTGTCCACTTCCAGTTGTGGAAGATTTTACTTCTTAAGTCTAACTAGATTATATGAACCCTCTGTACAATTTACAAGTACCCTAGAAAGATCAGTGGCTGGAGTTAAGGGATTTGGCAATGCCCTGATGGTTGGGTATAGAACCATATAGATTATCTTAGTAACCCGAGGATCTACCAACTTTCTTTTAATTGCATTTTCTATTTTCTTTGCTAAATTAAAATAGATAGTGAGACAGTTGGCTTTGCACAGGTGAACAATGCAGGGATTAGTGGAGCCATAGGAGATGCTGATGCCCTTATAGCTTTAGTAAAGTCTTTGGAAATGGTAAGTCTTTCGAATTAAATTTTTCAATAGCCATCAAAACCTGAAAGTTTCAATGTATGGCTTGAAAAATTTTCATTGTGATGTTCATTTCAAACTTTGGTCAACATTTTTCTTGTTTGTGGTGGGTGTGGGCTATAGAGACCATAATAATAAATTTGTTTTTACTGATACAGGGGAGAGGAGAAGTTGGTAGTAAACTAATGACTGAAACTTATGAGTTAACAGAAGAATGCTTGCAAATAAACTATTATGGTGCTAAAAGAACAGCTGAAGCACTTATCCCACTCCTCCAGTTATCTGACTCACCCAGAATTGTTAATGTTTCGTCTTCCATGGGGAAGTTAATGCGCATACCAAGCCACTGGGTTAAAGGAGTTTTTACAGATGCCGAAAACCTAACAGAAGAGAGAGTAGATGAGGTACTGACCGAGCTTCTAAAAGATTTCAAGGAGGGTTCACTTGAAAGTAAGGGTTGGCCTTCTCGTTTGTCTGGCTATATAGTCTCAAAAGCTGCACTGAACGCATATACAAGGATTCTAGCAAAGAAGTACCCCACTTTTCGTATCAATTCGTTATGCCCTGGCTTTGTCAAAACAGATCTAAACTACAATGCCGGTGTCCTACCTGTCGAAGATGGGGCTGCAAGAGTTATGAAGTTAGCATTGCTGCCCAATGATGGCCCTTCTGGCTCCTTCTTTGATCACTATGAAGTGTCAGATTTTTAATTGAAGATGATCCACTTATGCAAATTAAATACATGTAATTTATTTGGCAGGATCTTGAACTTTTAATGTAACAAAGTATATGGACCCAGTAATAGATCCTTTTTAAGTTCTTTCTACATTCAACATGACTCGGGGATGGCATAGATTCAATAGTTCTGTATGATTGCATCCCTAATACATTGCTTGTTTACATTTCTACTTATCAACTGGCTCTTAAACCCATATTATCATTTACATTATTATAATAAGAAATTCTATGTGATTGATGTCCAACCTTTGATCGAAATTATCAATATCATTTCGGTATATACTTCTTATGGACATGTTGACAATAATTATATTAACACGTTATCGACAATCCGTTATTAATTAAGAAATGACGTAGGTGTACTGAAGAATTGAACATTCAATTGTTTGTTTAATAAAGAAAAAGACAACATGAGTCTCTTTAACAATCATGTTATTGGATTGGAGCAGCCAAATTCACCAATGTCAAATGCAAAACTACTTAAGACTTGGCATGTTATGAACAACGTGGGCACTTGCGTCACTAGCCCCCTCTTTTTTCTTAAACTCCAAAATAAAAATCCAAGCAAATGTTGTTCCATCTTTCCCATTCAATGACTTCTAGAAAACGTTATAGGAACAAACGAATCGATTTGAATATAATACTCAAAATACATAAGCTTCCCAACAACTTCACGTTATAAAAAATTTATTACAAAAAAAAAAAAAAAAAAAGGCTCCTTCTGTTTGCGTTATAAAAGAATAAGGCTTTCCAACAACTTTACGTTATGAAAGATACATTTAGGCTTACCATCTTATTCATTCATATTGTGTATGCAATGAGGTCATATCTCAAAAATAAAAATGTTGTGCATGCAATGATGTCATATCTCACTATATCTCACCAAACCCAGTTATTAACTTATTATTACTTTCATGACCAAAAAAAAAAAAAAGTTACTTTTATTTTTTTCTTTTTTTGCTATACCACTTTTTTGCCAATAAGGGCAAAAGTGTACTTTCCTAAATCCAATCTAACAAAGGCCATAATGGCTTTCCTCATTGACTAAAAACTAATAAAAATATAAAATCACTTGAGCAAGACCCAAAAGTATATAGGCTCTTTAGAAGATCTTAATTAGTGCACTTTTCACATGTAAGTCCATAAATAAGGCCCGAAATACAGAAGAATTCAACAATATATCCTAGGAAAAACTCCATTTGCCTTTTGGAATCAAAATAAGGAGTTAAATTCCTATTACAGATACTCCTATTGGTCCAAGGAGATAATGTTCCGTTGTGATTCCAGATTAACTAGCTATACGTGGAAGGATATTGTCCACGTACTCATTCGTCCCCACCCAGCAGCTTAGCTTACAAAAGCATAAGATAATCATTAGATTTGCATAATGGTAAACATTCGTGCAAATCTAAGACCAATCTAATTCAGTCCTGCTCCATTCCAAACCAAGAGGCTTGACTGTAATTGCAAAATCAAGTGCAATGGGGTATGAACACGTGGTGCATTATGGAGACTACAAGAGTGAAATGGGGCCTACTTAAAAGTTCTCTTTTCCATTTATTTATTTGTTTTAATTCTTATATCAACAAACTCACCATTGAGAACGGGGCCTACTTTAAGCATTTGTTACTCAGTTGGGGCCCACTTAAAAGTGTCAACTTATTTTCAAAATTATTGAAAGTCGAAAGCTTCGAAATTGCAGAGTCTCTCAAATCATCAATGGCCGAAGCAACAAAGAGGTATCTCCATACGAAAATTTATCTCTTTTGTTTCACTTTCATCCCTGAATTTGTTGTTGCTTTCTTCTTCTGTTCTTTCAGATATGCAGTTGTTACAGGGGCAAACAAAGGGATTGGGTTAGAAACTGTCAGGCAGTTGGCCTCAAATGGAATCACTGTAGTCTTAACTGCTAGAGATGAAAAGAGGGGTCTTGAAGCTTTTGATAAACTCAAAGAGTCTGGCCTCACAGGTCAAGTGGTTTTTCATCAACTTGATGTGGCGGACCCCGCAAGCGTTGCTTCTTTGGCAGATTTCATCAAAACCCAGCTTGGGAAACTCGATATCTTGGTAAGATCAAAGCTCACTTCCTGAAAAGTTTCTGTCTTTTCAATTTAATTCGTCAAATCCAATTTCCCTTTGAATATAAGCATAGATGAGTTGATGTTGAGACTGTAAAATTGAGTGGTTGGCACAAACCCATCATCTTATTGTGAGAGTTGAATTTTGTCCGTCAATCGGTCTTTGAGTTCTTCTCCCATATCTGATTTGATCCCTCTGTTCAATGTATAAGTTACCCCAGAAAGATTAGTGGCTGGCATTAATGGGTTTGGCACACTAGCATATTTGGCCTTCAAAGCTAAGCCGTTTAAGGGCCTTGAACTTTGTTGTTAGTTATAAGAAGAAAGACCAACATAGTAATCAAAGGATCTCTCAACTTTCTTTTTTCTCTGTATTTTCTAGATAGGATACTTCTGAAAAAACCTGTCCTTCTTATTTTTAGGGTGCTTCAGAAGCTAAGAATTAGATTATCTACAGGTGAACAATGCAGGGATTGGTGGTGTCGGACTGGATTCTGATGCTTTTAAAGCTTCAGAAAATTCTGGTGATGGGGTAAGTTGTACATTTCTTTTTTTGTTGTTCCACCACACACTAAAGGTGATGTTTGAGGAGGGAAGCTTCTAATGTTGGCTATATATGTTGCTGTTTGATTCTGGTTAGACTTCATCTTGATATTATTAACACAATACCTTATCAATAGCTATATCAAAAAGTTACTCTTCAATTTGCTAATGTGCAAAATTAACTTTATCTGTGGTTTGGCCAAGGGTCTGTTTGCGAGGTTGGGGTTAATGCCTTGCCTTTTTTCCAAGGGGAAAATGATCTGTGTTGTGCCATTCCAGAATTCCTTAAGATACTTCAATAGTCTAATGCACATATATTTGAGATTCTGATGCTTCCTAGAACAGATATGAATCAAGTTAGAGTTAACAAATACATTGCTTATCTTATATGGATTCACTTTTCTTGCCTGGTGAAAGTTTCCACATTCAGAAACTTTGATAGCTTTTTTATCTGAAAGAAAATCTAGATATGAGTTCTCCTTTTACTCCTTTGATCTGAATAGTATTTTCACTGTGATGCGCATGTGTAGCTTTTAATTACCATACTTTCTTGTTTGAGGTGGGTTTATAAGAACAGGGCCAAAGAATAATTTTCTGCGTACTGATGCAGGAAGGAGCAAACATTGATTGGACTAAATTTCTGACTGAAACACACCTGTTGACAGAAGAATGCTTGCAAATAAATTACTATGGCACTAAAAGAACAGCTGAAGCACTTATTCCACTCCTCCAGTTATCCGATTCACCAAGAATTGTTAACGTTTCTTCCTCCACGGGGAAGTTAGAGAACATACCAAGTGACTGGGTTAAAGGCGTTTTTAGGATTCCGAATACCTAACAGAAGAGAGAGTAGATGAGGTATTGACACAGCTACTAAAAGACTTCAAGGAGGGTTCAATTGAAAGCAAGGGCTGGCCTGTTTATCCTGCAAATAGTCTCAAAAGCGGCAATAAATGCATATACAAGGATTCTAGCCAAGAAATACCCCAACTTCCGCATCAATTCTGTCTGCCCCGGCTATGTCAAGACAGATATAACCTTCAATACTGGCATCTTGTCTGTTGAAGAAGGTGCTGCAACTGTTCTGAAGTTAGCATTGCTGCCCAGTGATGGTCCTTCTGGCCTCTTCTTTGTTCGGTCTGAAGTATCATGTGCATGATTGAAGTGTGCTAATACATGTCATTCGTTGGGGCAGAATCTTGGATTTTCAATGTAAGAAAGTATATTGTTAAAATTTATGTAAATCAGTGATGTGGCAAGTTTGTTTGTTAACTAAAATGGATGCATGCTCATTAATTTCTATCTTAGAAATCTTCCCCAGATTGGCATATTGTTCTTCTCCAAATTTGACCAATAATCTCCTTAATTTTTTTTTAATTAGAATTTTTGTAATTCTTATTTCACCGTTAAAAAATAAAGAACCCACCAAATAAATAAATAAATAAATAATCTCCATCAATCAAACTTGTAGGTTATTTATGTATTTAAATTTTTGTTGTGAAAATATTAAAATATTCAAAACAATATGGCATTAATAAGGGACATTTTGGAAAAAGCAAAAGAAGAGAGAAAAATTTTAAAAGAAGCAAAAATGGACAAAAATGCCCTTATTTATTTTTAGATTTCTTAAGGAATCCAATACATTTGCATGTCTTTGATTTGAAAGTTGAGTAGTTTTTTTGTCTTTTTTGAAAAAGTTTTGGCTTTTTCTAAAAGTGAAAAAAAAATTATGTCTAAAACCTAAAAAACCTCATTAAATAATAGCATCCCTATATTTTAGCCACTAATGTTTTTAAAGCGTCAATCACACATTGACCTGAATAACAGAGTTTCTATTTTGCGGCGTTCACACTATGTTACTTTCATACTCTCTCCATCAAGATATTCATCTGATTTAGTTACCGTTGGAGTTGGACTGAAATTAGCTTGGCTCCCAAGTTTTCTCTTTTCTTGATTTATTTTCCTGATAGGACAAGAATTAAATACCCTAATCGGACAAGGACTGTATGAGAGATTATATAAGGATAGCAGACCCATCTCACTTTTCGTTACTTCGTTTTTGTTGATCGCTTTCACTTCACAGTTTACTTCATTCAATTTCTCATCTACTAGAACAAAGATTTTCCTTTTCGGTTCTCTGCCAATTTGTTTTGTTGATCATGGCTTCTTCTTCACTGGGTTCTTTCAATCTCTCAAGTAGGAGCAAAAGAGAAGGAGATGAAGCAGAAGACAAAGGGAAGATGGGGTATTTGACAATGGAAGATTTTAAAGGCATGAATTTTGATTCTTTGTGTCCTTATGATCAATTGACATTGGTTGCCACTGTTCTTGTTGAAAAAACTGAGAAAAGAAGAAGCAATTGAAGAATGAGGAGCACCAGATACAGAGCAGACCCTCCTCATCACCACAAGTTTCTTCTTCTTCTCCAAATGCATCACCCCATTTTCATCCCTTGGTCCCTGGCTTGGTTCAAGGCAAATATGTCAATTGGGTGCAGCAGGGATACCCTAAGAAACCAAGGTCTACTGCTTCTAATATTGGGCAAAAGTCAACAATGAAGACCATCCCTCCTGCTACTGCTGCTGCTGCGACTACTCATGATGATCATATTCAGGGGCATAGAAGGAGTAATAATTATGGGTTGAAAAGAAAATCCAATGATGATCATGATGATAGAGATAAAGATTGGGCTGCTCCCAAGAAGAAGAAGGTGTACATCAAGAACAACAAGGGTGCTACTCTTCACCATCGTCCTGATTTGCCTGAAGATTTCAAGAAAATGATCATAGGCCAGATGAATGGCACAGAGCTGAGATGTCTCATACAAAAGGAATTGTTCAGAAGTGATGTAAAAGGCAGTCTAAACAGGTTTTCATTGCCTCCAAACCAAGTCTTATGCAACGATGATCAGGGTTCCTTAAAAAGTCCATCGCCTTCCCTCAAAGTTCCATTTATAGATCCGAGTCTTAAGCTTGAAGATAAAGAAGGGATAAACTTGACTATGTGGACGCTGTCAAACTCAGAAACAAAAACGTATGTGTTGAGAACTACTTGGGGTAAGGTTGTTAGGGAAAACAAACTGGTTCCTGGTGATGTAATCCAAGTTTGGTCTTTCCGGGCTAACAACAATCAGCTTCACTTGGCTATTATTGTGGTAAAAAGAGCTGGGAAAATTGGTACCAACCAAAGTGAAGGGAGTTCTAGTAAGAGTGACAACGTTGTTGATATTGGCGATGAATGCGGTGGCCAAGGAAGTAGAGGAGTGGAAGGTAGCAGCGAAGTTATGGACAGGAGCACACCAGATTCATTTGTCAAAGAAGCAGGAAAATGAAGACTTTTAAGGCCCTAGTTGTGATTTTCATATTCTTTTTGTAAAGATTTTCTGATCAGGTTTTCATTGATCAGGTTTCATTTGCAGTGCAATTAACTGATCAATTGGCTTTTGTTTTTGTTGCTGATGAGTTAATCAATTCAGATGCTAATACATTGCATCCATATATATGTAAACACTGTGCAAGTGATTTTTTTGGGATGAAATATCAAATTTTTATACATATTTTCCTACTAATCTAAATCAGCATAAGTTATAACTTGTAGCCAAAAGAGTAAAAAGGAGCAGCGGCACTTAATTCCTTTTTTAATAAGAAATTATAATTTTCTTTATTGGTTCCCAGTAATTAAGAATTGAGGCATCACTTATGGTTGGTTAGCAATTCTCATACACTCGAAAGTCAACGTCCAGAAGACTAGTGTTGCTTTGCTTTGTCATATATGGTCTAATTGGCCATTGCATTACAAACTAGCAGTCTTGCTTTGCTAAGCTAAAACTTAAAACTAATAAGGAATCTATAAAAAAGTAATCTGTACTTGAAAGAAAGCAACCCAACACCAAAAGTTGAATATTTTAAAACAAATTATACCAATATAAAATGATAGTAGAAGACAACTCCAGGTTATATATAGTAATGCAAGAATAAGAATAAGAAAAGAAAAGGAAAGCTGAATTCCCATCAACAATGGCAGAAGAAGGAAAGAGGTACCATACCTATCTCAAGCCCTTGTTCACATTAACACCCTTATTTCACTAATTTATAGTGTGAATTTCTTTTTTTTTCTTTTTTTTTCAGGTATTCAGTTGTTACAGGTTCAAATAAGGGAGTTGGATTTGGAATAGTTAGGCAGCTGGCTTCAAATGGGGTCATGACAGTGTTAACCGCTAGAGATGAGAAGAAGGGCATTGAAGCTGTTGAAAAATTAAAAGAGTGTGGCCTCTCAGACCTTGTGGTTTTTCATCGGCTTGATGTCACAGACCCTTCTAGCATTGCTTCCCTGGCAGATTTTGTCACAACCCAGTTTGGGAAACTAGACATCTTGGTATGTATAACCAGCTTCTCCTTCTCAATTTTTATGCTCATTTAGAAAATTATCGATAAATTTTTTTCTTCAATGCATTTATGATTGTAGTTGACAAGGATTTAACAAAGATGAGAAGTGTTGAACTTCCATAGGTAAACAATGCAGGGGTTAATGGAACTATTATGGACCCTGAAGCTCTCAGAGCAGCTGCAGCTGCAGGACTTGGTAAGGTAAGCTGATCAGTAAGAAAATGCAAGTTGGGGTTAGGAATGCAGCACTTAGTCAGCATAGTCATGGTTTAATTTTCCGCTTTACATGGTTTGTACTATTTTTCTAGGATGTGATTGATCTTATGGAATTAACTGAGGGGGAGATTTTATCCAGTGGACTAATCTAGTTAAATTATATGCCCTTTTTTTCTTTAAATTTCCACATAAGAATAAAATCTTTGTAATACCATTGTAGCCTCCATTACATGACGCTAACGACTCCTTTCGTATGATATGCACTCCATAATAGAGTTCCTCCAAGCCTATGAAGTGAGATTATGGACCTTAGCTGCTTGATTAGTTGGTTAGTACATGTTACAGAGTTCTTAGAGTACTGATAAATTGTTGCTATATTAGCAATCAAATATAAATTACTTGAAACTTAAGTAAGGCTATGTCCGTTATTAGATGCACAATAGTTTGCTTTGGTGGAGTTGGTAGAGGATTATTGGACGGTAATCATAATTATTACCAAGAAAATATATAAAATTTCTTCTTCTTGATGCAGAAAGATGTAGAGGTCAAGTGGAGTGAAATGTTGACTCAGACATATGAGTTAGCTGAAGAATGCATTAAAACAAACTACTATGGTACCAAGAAAATGACCAAAGCATTTCTTCCTCTCCTCCAGCTATCCGATTCACCGAGAGTTGTCAATATTTCTTCTGGCCGGGGGAGGTTAAAGGTACGAAGAGTTCTCATATTTTGTCATCCTCATTAGATTTTACCACTTAATCCCTTAAAATCAAAATTCCTATTTCGCATAATGAGCCAACTGAAATTCTCCTATGATGCATGTTTCTTCAGCTTATACCAAATGAATGGGCCAAAGGTGTGTTGAATGATGCTGAGAAACTTACAGAAGAGAGAATAGAAGAGGTTTTGAATGAGTTTCTAAGAGATTTCAAAGAAGATATGCTGGAAACCAAATGCTGGCCTCCAGCCCTCTCTGCGTATATACTCTCAAAAGCAGCCTTGAATGCATACACTAGAATTGTGGCCAAGAAGTACCCAAATTTTTGTGTCAATTGCATCTGCCCTGGATTTGTCAAAACAGACATGACCTTCAATGCTGGCATCTTCACTGTTGACGAAGCTGCTGAAAATGTTATGCGCTTAGCAGTACTTCCAAGTGGCATTCCTTCTGGTCTCTTCTTCTTTTCTCAAGAAGTCACACCCTTTTGAGTGTAATTAACTAAAATAATGAAAGCCATAGCTAGCTGCTGTTCTATATGTTGTATTGATGAATAATTCCATACAATGTATGTTATATGAGTTCCTCTGTTTTTCTTTTGCTGTGGTGAGTTGAGTGGCTGGCCCTGGAGAAATTATTGCTTGTATGGCAACTTTCATTAAAACCCAGTTTGAGAGATGTGATACTTGGAAGTTGGAACCAGTTGATACATTGCAGATCGGTTCAAAAAAACCCATTAACCCTTCAGTTGTCTGCAGACAATTTAGACCCAGTAAGCCAAAATTCATATTCCAGAGAGCCCAGTAAACCACTAGCCAGGAACTGTAGGCCCAGAAGCGTTAGTGCTTAGTTTGTTTCTCTGGGCATTGGGGCCCCCGTTGCATCCAAAAGATGAAGAAATTACATATTTCCTTGTGGGTCCCTGGTAGGATGAATCAAGTAGGGGTGGCATTTTAAACCGAAAAACCGAAAAACCGCAAAAACCAACCGACAATTTACCGCAATGAAACCGCAATCGCGGTAAACCGAACCGCATTTGCGGTATTAAGAACCGAACCGCATTTGCGGTT